TGCCAGATTGGGGAAGTTCTCCTTAATTACTTTTTCAAATAAGTTTTCAATTTCTTGCTCTTCCTCTTCTCCTTCTGGCATCCCTATGATTTGGAGGTTGGCACATTTAAAGTTGTCCCGGAGGTTCCTAAGCATCTCCTCATTTTTTTGAATTCTTGTTTCTTCATTCTGTCCCAGTTGAATGTTCATACCTTCCTTCTGCTCCAAATTGTTGATCTGAGTCCCAGTTTCCTTCCCTTCACTGTTGGTTCCCTGTATATTTTTCTTTATTTGACTTTGCCTAGCCTTCACTTTTCCCTCTACTTTGTGACCATACTCCACCATTTCTGTGAGCATCCTGATTACCAGTGTTTTGAACTGTGCATCTGATAAGCTCGCTATCTCTTCATCACTTAGTTGTATTTTTTTCTGGAGTTTAATCTGTTCTTTCATTTGGGCCATATTTCTTTGTCTCAGCACACCTGTTACATTGTAAAGGATGGAGCCTTAGGTATCCACCAGGGCGGGGCAACCCATGTCTCTGCATTGTGATGCTGTCTGTGGGGGAGGGGTGAGAGAAGGAACAATGTTGCTTGCTTGGCTCTCAGTGGGCTTTCAGTCACTTCCCCCACTACCCACAAGCAAATTGGGCTCTTCTGGTGCTGATTCCAGGGTGGTTGGGTTTGTGTACATTCTAGGCCCATGTGGGTCTCTCCAAAGAACATTCCTGTGAGGCTGGGAGTTTCTCCCTCTGCTGCAACCCCCACAGGTTTTTACAGCCAGAGGCTTTCTTTTTCCGCACTGGAACCCTGGGTTGTGTGGTCTGTCTTGCTCCCTTGTTGTTCCTCCTGGTTTATCCTTACACGCAAATGCAGGACTGCCAGCTGCCATCTTACCTGCCCAGTCCTTCAGCCATTGCCTTGCCATGTATCCGCTCTACCCCAGCTGCCTGCCTTCACCCTCCTGACAGTCTGGATGAATGTTTCTTCTTTTACTCCTTGGTTGTCAGACTACCATACAGTTCAATTTTCTGGCAGTTCTGGTTGTTTTTTATTTTTAAATTTGTTATTGTTCTTCTTTTGGTTGTGTGAGGAGGCAATATATATCTACCTATGCCTCCATCTTGGCCGGAAGTCTCTCATTTTTTGTTGATATTTTTATTGATATGAAAAATTTGAGGGACTTTTCTATACCCTTGGAGCTCTAAAATTTCATGATATTTAATGGATATTTTAAATCTGAAATGCATATCCTTCTTCAATTCTAAGAAATGTTCTTCTATTATTATTTCTTTGTTAATGTTGTCCCCTCCATTTTCTCTTTCTGATACTCCTGGTAGATAAATTAGAGGCAACTGGTTTGGCCCTCAATTTAAAAAAAAGTATCTAACTCATATAGTCTCTCTTTGTCTTTTCATTTTGTGGTCTAGGAGAGCTCTTGACTCTTTATTTCCACCTTTTCATTGGCTTTTTAATTGCAACAACTTTTACTTTTCAAAATCATTTTTGGTGTTTTTCATAGATTACTTTCCCTCCTTATTTTTAGCAAACTATTCTTATCTTATTTATGCAACTGCTTCTTCTAAGAAGAGTAATAAGAATGGTTTGAAAGTTCTTTTTTTTTTCCTCTTCCTTGAATTATAATCTGTTTATTCTGGGGTAGATTATTCAATTTTTTCATCCTTATCCTCTTCTCATGCTCCTGATTTCCCTCTAGTCCACTTAAAAATATGAATATAAGAGTTATTTGTTCCTTTGGTTGCTTTTGTTTCCCTTGGTTAATTTTGTTTCCTCAACAGTCTACTGTCCAGAATGGGAAGATGGAACCACGAGTTCTGTGTAGGTAGGCAGTATGTGTTGTTTGAAAGGTTTCACCCTAGGTTACACAAGGAGCTTGCAGGTAAAGTTGAGCCCTCAAATTTATTTATTTATTTTTTAAAAATATTGTATTTATTTATTTTTTAGAGGCATGGGAAGGAAGGGACAAAGAGAGAGAGAGAGAGAAACATCAATGTGAGAGGGAAACATCAATTGGGACTGGACCTGCAATCCACAGATGTGCCCTGACTCAGAATCAAACCAGCGACCTTTTGCTTTGCAGTACAATTCCCAACCAACTGAGCCACACTGGTCAGGGCAAGCCCTCAAATTTAAAATTAAGTAGGATTTGCTTTCAAGTGATGACACCAACATTAGAAGCCATAGCCCTCTGCACATAGGTTGTTAAATTTCCTTAGATAGCACTTTGTGACTAGAAGGTAAATACAATTCTTTTTTATTTTTTTAAGATTTTATTTATTTATTTATTTATTTTTAGAGAGAGGGGAAGGGAGGGAGAAAGAGAGGAAGAGAAACATCAGTGTGTGGTTGCCTCTTGTGCACCCCCAACTGGGGACCTGGGCTCTAACCCAGGCGTGTGCTGACTGGGAATTGAATTGGCAACTCTTTGGTTTGCAGGCTGGCACTCAATCCACTGAGCCACACTGGCCGGGGCCAATTTTTATTGCTCTTATGTATGCTAAAAGTGTGATAGGATGGTACAAAGAGGGCCAATTGTTGCCCATGTTGTTTTATTGGCAGTTTTTAAAATTAACTATTCTGATTATTAGCCCACATCCACTCTTGCTCTCCATACCTACCGACTCTAGCATGGAGCTACTCTTGAACTCTATCAAGAAGAATGTAGACATCCAGTCAAGATGGCAGCATAGGCAGACATGGCCCACCTTTTCAAACAGCCACATCAAAATTACAACTCAAATATAGAATAACCATCAATCAGAACTGTCATAAATAGAGCTGAATGAAAGTCTGACAACTATGGAATTAAAGAAACCATATCCATTCAGACTGGTAGGAGGGGCACAAATGCAGACTGGGCTGGTCCCACACCCATGTGTGGTAGATAAAATCTGGAAGGGATATCTCAAGAATGAGGAGTATCAGCCCCACACCAGGCCCCCCAGCCCAGGGTTCCAGTGCCAGGAATATAAGTCCCCACTACTTCTGGATGCAAAACCAGTGAGGATTGAGTCAGTGGAAGAAACATGTGGAGCCCCAAGCAGTTCCTCTTAAAGAACCCACGCATGGACTCACTGACTCATACTTACTCCCTCTGAGCTCCAACATGGGGGTAGCAGCTTGAAAGGGACCAGTGGCATACTGGGAGAAACTGATGAGTCTGGCATCAAGGCAAGCAGAGGCCATTGTCCCTTTCCTGAAACCTTCACACACAGAGCCACAGAGCCAGCAAGCTGGTGCCATATCTGAGACTCCATCGACCTGGCTAACACTGTTTGACCCACCTTGGAGATCCCCAGAGACTCCACCCTACACAACTTACGGGCCTACGCAGGCTGCTTTTCCATACAAATGGCTTGGTCCTGGCTCAAGCTTCACAGCTTTCTAAATCCTATCAAACAAACAACAGCTGGCCTCACTGAGCCCTAGGCCCAGCACTAGGCTAGCAGCAGCCAGCCTAGATTCATAGCTTGGCTTCACCTGGGAATCTCCAAGCCCAGCACAAGCAGCAGTCATCTCAGATTGTATTATAGCTCAGGTAGGGTGACCCCTGGGAAAACACAGGTGGGGGCTGACCTTGGCCTGCACCTCTCAGGAAACCCCATGGCCAGTCCACACAGTGGACAGCTATGTTGAAGACCATGTCAGAGCACCACCACCCTGCCTCTGCACAGCTGATCTTCCATGGAGGGCAGAAGTTGGTGTTAAGTGGTCACAGCCAATCCTTGCAACTGACTGGCCTGGGTAAATCCCTAAAATTGATCTGCTAACAGCAATCAAGGCTCAGCTACAAGAGGAGGGTGTACTCAGTACACACAAAGGGTGTACCTTGAGTACCCAGCTTGGATGACAGAGGAGAGGCTGTGCCACTGGACCCTACAGGACACCTACTACATTAGGCCACACTACCAAGACACAGAGTCAAAACAGTTCTACCTACTACATATAAACAAACACAGGGAGGCTGCTAAAATGAAGCCAAATAAACCTTCCTAATGTTCTAAAACCCATTTACTAAATCCAAAGGGTTTAGAAAAAGAAATGTGACATTTCCTATAATAAATAATGGAGAATATGAAGTTTATAATTCAGGTATTTATAAGAAATGTACAGAAAGAAAAGGCATTTTTGAATTTTCAGAATCTAAGCAATGGAGTAAAAATAAAAATGAAAAGTCATGTTACTAAGTATAGGCAGCACTGAAACCGCTTGGTTATGCAAAGAAGTTGTATAAGTAAAGAAATTAATCTGTCTATATGTAACAAGAATAAAGGCAACCTGTATATGATTAGAAATAAAGTAAATGATTAACTAGTCTTTAAACTTCTGTTATCAAGGCTGATTATTTTCTATTGTAGTGCTTTCCAAATTTACTTTCTTAGCAGCAGAATCCTCTATTTTCTAACTGAAATCTTATAGAACAGATAAATGTGAAGCTGCTCTTTTTGAAGCAGGAGCTTCAGAATGAGGAAGCTAGAACAGAATTCAGTTGATCACCTGTCTTTCCTCTACAGCAGCCCTTAGACTCCTCTAAGGAAATATAATTTAAAAATCATCAGTTTCAGTAAGGTGTTCCATTAGCTAAGTAAGGTTTTATTAAAGTGAGGTCATGAGTACAACTGGTCATGAGTACAACTGGTTATGGGAAAATAAAAATATGTCCTAATTTCTAAAACGTGGTCCTTGAGGGGGAGTGGTGTATAAGGGGACTAAATGGTAAAAGAAAAAAATACAATAAGAAAATTAAAAAAAATAAAGCAGGGTCCTTGATCCATTCTAAAAAATCATGACTATCCTCCACAATAGAGGTATAAACTAGAGAATCCCTTATCAATGGGCTCTGTTCTTTTCTGCAGCAGACATTACTTAGTATATGGGTCTCTAAAGACTACTTGAGCCTTTCAAACAACTAAATTCCAAGTTGGAAATACCAGTTACTTCCATGGAAAGGAGGGAAGTATATCTATTTGTAAAGAAATAGAAAAAAAGTCTTTAACTTACCCAGAGCACAAGGACATTCATGAGATGGTCTATTTGTGTCCGTTTAAAGGAGGACTTTCCACTGTTCTGCATTAATTTGGTGTCTGGTCCTAAGTGCAACAGGGACATCAACTCTTAGAATTAATTAATCTGCTGATTAATGCACTGTCCTGCATTAATTTGGTGTCCCTGCAGTGCAGGGACATCAGCTCTTAGACTCATTGAATATACTCAGAGGCTTGAAACTGAGTTGGAATGTACGTTGATGATCACCTAATCAAATTTCTTTCCAGAGCCAGGGGATAAAACCCTGGAGGAAGGCTCATAGTTGGTGCCAGTAGCTCAAAGAATAGAAAATTTGTTTCTAAGGATAATTCCAACTTCTTCAAAGTGCAGCAACACTGACCTCTCTCACTGCAGCACCTTAGCCGTGTAGTTGTTCACAGGTGAGCTAAGTCAGAATAGGAACCAGCGTCTTCTCTCTCATTACTATCTGGTTTATTTAGCTTTGAAGGGGGATCTTCTGATAAAGAGACCACCACCTTTTTTGGTGGGGGCGGGGGGGCCCACTGTTGGACCAGGCTCTATTTAAAGTTTCTAATTGGGAAAGAGAGAAAAGGCAATGGCAGTGATTTCTTCTGAGATGGAAGCTGGGGATCTGAAACTTCACTGGGGCTGAAGGACAGACCCCATATTCCTTCCTGATAGTAAGTAGTAAGTAGAAGTAAAAAGCTTGAAATGGACACAGGGTCTAGAGTTGGAAATTACTGACTGGAGGTACGGCTGCAGAGAAAAGTTTATTTTTGTTCAATTTTTATTTATTGATTTTGAGAGAGAGAAAGACAGAGAGAGAAAGAGATCAACTTGTTGTCCCACTTATTTATGCATTCATTAGTTGCCTCTTATATGTGCTCTGACCAGGGGTAGGACCCACAACCTTGGCATATTGGGATAACGCTCTTACCAACTGAACTACCCAACCAGGGTTTTGCGAGAAAAGTTTAGAAGAAAGTGTAAGTAGCAATTTCTCTGGCGTTTTACCATCTGCTTATTATTTTTGCATGTACTCTAATGAAGGAATTTCATCAATGTTTATATATGCAGAGCTGGAACTTCCCTGGTATGTGGACCAACACCAAGAATGCAGTGCATAAGCTATGCCATTCTTTCCTTTTAAGCACTTGTGGAAGGGCTTGAACTAATGAGAAGTGTGGCTGAGAGACTGAAAGCTACAAGGGACAGTTTCTTCCAGGGGTTTGTAGAAAGACTGTCCCTACCCCAGGTTTCAAGAAGGACATGGAGATCACAGTACAACTTACACATCATGTAGCAGGAGGAGCAACTCAGTTATGCACTGCATACCTTGCATCAGCTCTCCTCTGTTTGGAGCTCTCCAAAGCCCCCAGAGATTTTTCACCACCATGTAACCAACAAAGAGTTGGAGGGAAACCTAAACCTGATTTGTGCTGGTTGGCAACCTACTGCCATTGCTTTAGGGAAAAAATATTTTGCTGAAAAATGAGCTTTTTATGTGTTGCATTGTGGGTGAGTAGCTGCTTAAGTACAATGAAAAAGAAAGTCTACTGAAAATCTTTTGTGTTTGGGGCTAGGCAGCCTAGAAGCTGCCACTTACAGGTCAAGAATCAAGGAAGAAAGTTCCACTAAGGCCTCCACAGACTCCTAAGCTTCTCTCTAGGGTTTGAATCCCATCATTTTCTATATAAATGAGGCATCTAGGACCCTCCTGTCCAGGAGTAAATTCCCTAGAAGGGGAGCTCAGAGTTGAGTAGCATTCACCGTGGCAAACCTTCCTCCATGCTATCTTCAGACTCCCCGGCTTCTTACTGTGGTTGCTGTCAGCGATGCCTGCTGTGACTGAGGGCATAGAGTAGCACAGAAGGTTCCTTCACTTTCCTGAGTCACATCATAAACCAAGAAAATCCTGCACTAAGTATAAGGGATTATGGTTCTAAATGACATCTCAAGAGGGGTCACTGACTAATGTTCCACATGTGCCTTTTCTCTGGCATGAACCTTTCATACCGTATTTTATATTCTTCTCTATAATGAGCACTGTGTTTATTCTCTCCTCATGGGAGTAATCCACATGTATACTCTCCCTTTTAATGAGTTCCCCTTTCACACACCAATTCTATGTGTGCTTCTATGTGTGTGGCTTCTCTTGTGTCCAGATATGATTGCAAAGACTCATGAATGCCTTGTGGTCTTGGAACACAAAGCCTTCCTCTAACAATGGCAGTGGTTATATGTTGGCAGCTCACTGCTTGGGGAAAAAAGTTTTTTTTTTCTTAAATAATCCATCTATCCCCCTTTCTACCTGTCTCAAAGCCATAGTGTTCTATATATATCTGAGTACTATCTACATCCTGAAACCTAAGTACCCACAACTTGGCCAGGAATTGAATCCGGCAGGCTGGAGGTCTAACTGTGGCTCCGGGGAGACGTACCAGTGTAAATCACTAAGCCATAGCACCAGTCTGTGTTCTTGATGATGCATCCTCGGAGAAGCAGCTTGTCATGGTCCAGGATGTAGGTTTTTTCCTTGTAAGTCAGTAGTCCTGTGAATCTGTCCAACCTGTTATTGGGAGACTCACACCTCACTTTTCCTGAAAAAAAAAAAAAATGAAGAAGAGCAAGCCCTGGCTCTGTGATCTTAGGCCTTTCCTAACAGGATAGAAGGAGGTTTAACACAAAAGAGGAAAACATCTCTCTTTCAAAATGCACACACATCATTTTCCCTATCCTCTCTCAGATGCTGCCCATTTCTCACCCACTCCATTTAGAAAGGCAGACAAAGGTTTCTGGGCATCAAAGAAGAGTAATTCTATTTGTGACATGGGTTATCCAGAGAGCATTATGGATGAGAAAGACCCATGTGATAACTTATCACTATCAGTATTGCCAGATCATATGAACCCTAAATCTGAAAAAATTAAAAAAACTACTTAAAGAAAACATAGTATATTTTTCAAAATGAAAATAATCTGACATTTTCCTAATTAGTAAAGCAAAATATGCCCTTTGTAAATATGTGTACAATATTAAAAGGAGAAAGGAGAGTTAAATTCACCCACTGACTGGAGGTAGTGCCATTAACACACTTGGAAGTACATCCTTCAGAGTTTTTCTATACATGTACTCATAAACATACATATATTTCAAAAAAAGTATATGCTATATATACTAAGAAGAGTCTCTTGTAATATTTTTCTACTTATTAATATGTTGCAAATATTTTTCCCATGTCAATAATTATCAATTTGAATATTGCTCTTAAAAAGTTGGATTGAATGTGGGTGGCGGTGGTGGGTAGTGCCGGGGAGAGTAATGTGGGGAAAATAGGGACAACTGTAACTGAACAACAATAAAAAAAAGCTATATAGGATTCACTGTATGAATATACCATACTTTATTTAACCAGTCCTCTACTGATAAAAATATGGGTTGGCCAATCTATATGCTAACTCACCATCAAAGGCAGACAGCAGCTTCAAGTTATCTTCCATTTGACTGGTAACTGAGATGGCCTGTTTCACTTTCAGGTTGGTTTCTCTAGAGTAAAGGACACAGTCACCAGCATACTGTACACATACACATCAGCACCACAGGGCTAGTTTCTCCTAATTTTTCATGGAGGCTTAGAAAATGGATGTTGCCAATAGAACTTGGGCTATAGGTTTGAGCAGTATGAGTCACTTCTACTATTCTCTCTCAAGGACATCACTGAGGTGGGGTGGCTCTACGAGGATGCTAGTGTTAGCACACTGACTCCCCTCTCACTGCAAAACATCTCCAACCAATCCATGAGATCTTCCTGGACAGATGCTTGAGCTAATGAGACGTCACAAAACAACGTGGATGAGGCACCAGCTCCCTTCAAAATACGGAGCATGTCCTGATAAAATCTTGCACACACCTTCAAGTAAACATACTCCTTACTTCATACATATTTATAGAACTCATGAAGGGATCCCAGTTAGCCATTTGCTGATACAAGAATGCACTGAGACAGAAGCAAAAATAGAAGCCACATTTCAAAAAGCTGTGGGCACCAAGAGGAATAGTTGTAAGAATGCAGATCCGTACAAAACTCTACAGGACAAGCTCTTTGAAGATGGTCTCTACCCTCCTAAGACCGTAGCTTTTGCATGCTAATGAATTTCTACCTTAAATCCTTTATAGAACATGGTGTTTTATCAGTAAATAATTACCTCCAGACTCATTTTTTACCCCTGGAAACTTTAGAACTCTACTCTGAAATTGTACAGTTCTGTTAACCTCTTTCTTGTCACTCAGCATTAATAAATACAGCCAGAGTGTCTCCAGTTCAATAATTGAGCATTCACTGGGTGAAGTATCTGGGAGTTTATTTGCCCAGATACTTCACCCAGTGAATGCTCAGTTATTTCTGTCAAAAGCTTAGCTTTAGACTTGGGGTCCCAAGAGTCTGGCCTCCTTTCTTACCTGGATATTTCTAACCTCTTTGGTACTTTGATCTGAGAATAAAATCCATTCTCTGCATCATGTTCTCCCTCAGTGAAAAATCACTCTAAGCTGGCTCAGTCACCTTAATGAACCATTAAGGAGGGAACACTTACCCATCCAGTTCTGCTGTTTCTATATACGTCATACTGCAGGGCTCACTGCTAGAGAGTAACAGTGTATCAGCCTGTGGTCAGAAAAGTCAGAGGAGATAAGGAAAGCAAGAAGGCAAACTTTTAACATTACAATGTGACAAGAGCAGTTACCTCAGGAACAGATGTTCATCCTAAGAATTTTATAAACATTTGGTTTACTTTCTTCGTCTAGGACCCATCACTTCTACCAAACATCCCTCTCAGTAAGAAGCCTCACATTACATGTAGCTATAGTGAGAGGTGGACAAGAACAAGCTTCTCATCACAGGCACTGTTGATCTCTGGATGCAAAATGAGGCAGATGAAAGTCACCAAGAGCACTGGCAGTCGAAGTACTAAAAGGGTTCCTTTGTAGCCACTCCAGGCAAAAAAGAAAAAGCCACAGCCCAAGGAGGTACTCACCGTAACAGGCTGATTATTTTCTAATTTTATTATATCTCCCACTTGGATATTCATCCATTTTTTCTCCTCCATCCTGTAAGAAAATAACCCTTGAAAGCCCGCTCCCAAAGTCCGGTTTTGACAATCAAGAAAGAAAGAAAGAAAAAAAAAAAAAAGCTGAGACGAAGTCAAGGCTCAGAGGAGGACCAAACCAGTTTGTGATGCATTGGTGCTAGAATCAAGAGTGGGGCCTTTTTTTTTCTTCTTCAAATTCCAGGACTGTATTTCTTTAAACCTTATTACAAATTCAATTTTCTTTGAATGTTATAATATAAACATAAGTCCTTGCTGCAAAATCATTATCTATATATTCTATATATATAACCTCTTTTTTCTGGTTTCAAGTACCATCTCTTTGCAGATAAATCTTAATACATTAATTAATTTTGTTCCTAATTTTCAAATCTGGGTGATAGTACTAAAGAATAGTAGCTACAAGCTTTGGAGAACAACATCTGAGTGTTTATTTCATCTTGATTCACAAATTATTGCTACTTCTTTCCTGAACATTATAACAACTATGTGTTCCAGATTAAAGAAAGGGGGAGGTAGTCCCTACTGATTAAAAATATTCAATCCTGTTTTGCCATAGTACATTTTTAATTCCCATGCATTGCAATATAACCTTTTGTTTAGAAAATGTAGCCGTATAGCTAGAGATGGCATTGCTTTGACTCCAGAGATCATCCACGTTATATTCTCTGCTGGATGTGAATGGTACCTCCTGGAGTTCTATAACACTCTGGTACTTTTCCTAATACAAATACTTAGAAATGCTAGACAAAATAAAGCCAACACTTTTATAAGCAAGGCTATATTTAACACAAAGTAAGGAGCTTGGAGAAAAGACAGGACTGAAATCCAGACCAGAAGCATGTTCTAAAGTTGTTCTTGCCCTTAGTGAGGGAGGGGGGATTGTCAGTCTTATAGTTGGGTTGGCCCAAAAGTCTATGTGGTTTTTTCTATAAAGTAAAAGACACATTTTTCATTTTCACCAATAACTTTATTGATCTGGATATTTTGAGTATGTCCGCTATCTCCCACGTGGTATGACGTTGATTGTTTTCAATCAATGTCTCGATTTGATCGTTCTCAACCTTAACTGGTCTACCCAACTGTGGAGCATTGTCCAACAAGAAATCTCCAGCACAAAACTTCACAAACCACTTTTGACACATTTCATCAGTCACAGCACCTTCTCTATACACTGTACAAATCTTTTTTGTGTGTTTCAGTTGCATTTTTACCTTTCTTGAAACAGTAAAACATAATATGCTGAAAGTGTTGTGAATTTTCTTCCATCTTCAATATTAAAATGGCTACACAAAATTCACAATTTTGATAAGTTTTTTTTTAAAATGCACGCTGATATGACAGCTGTCACAATACAATCTAACAAAATTGTTTTGAGTGAAGTTGAAGACAACTAAGTGCTACTAGAGCCATCTTTTGGAAAAAACCAAACTTTCTGGCCAGCCCAGTAATTCGTAACTTGAGCTTTCCTTTAGCCCACCAAAGAGACAAGAGATTAAGCCTTAGGATCTTGAGAGGCAATGAGCTGGAACTAAGAACCCCTCTTAAAGCCAGGACTCTGGAAGAGCAATGCTATTAGGAAAAAGGTGGTCTAGCCAAAAAAAAAAAAAAAAAATCAACTGACCGGCAAGACAGTTTGTCTCTCTTAACATGGAGGGTTGGGGGTGAGAGAGTAGAGGACTCCCCTGAGAATTTGTAACCTCATGGAGTACAGGAGTAGGTGATACCCTTGACTTACTTGGTAGAGACAAATACAAAACCTCTCAAGAGGAATAAAACCTGAACTCAGGCCATTTACAGTCACTATATAGAGAGTTCCACTAGGACCTTGCCGGGTAGCTCAATCGGTTAGAGCATCATCTTGATATACCAAGGTTGCGGGTTTGATCTCCAGTCAGAGTACAATCAAGAAGCAACCAATGAATGCATAAATAAGTGGAACAACAAACTGATATTTCTCCCCCTCTCTCTCTATGAAAAGATTCTACTAAAGATGTCCTTATAACCAAAATTATTGAGAAAATGACAGAAATCACAGCTTGCAAAGCAGAAAAAGTTTTTCAATATCAGCTCTGCTCAGACCCATATGTTCTAGAAAAAGAAAGCTACTTTCCGGAATATAGACTGTTTCAACAACCAGTCTCACCTTGAGTGTTCAATTAATCAGACACTAACTGGGTTACAAAGTCTAACCAGGGCCCTGCTTCTGAACTCCTGTCATAAAGCCACTCTATGACAAATTATTCTCCAATAATCTTATAAAACCCAAGTGCTCAAGTTACTTGAGGAGTTCATTTGATGAAAATTATTTGATCAGTAATTCCCTGGCCTTGCGAATTTCTAAAACACTTTTGTCTTTTCTTTTTATTTTGATTTATTTCCTTCTTTTCTTTTTCTTTTTCTTTTTTAAAAGAGTTTATTTTTAGAGAAAGGGAAAGAGAGGGAGAAACAGAAGGAGAGAAACAGTGATGTGAGAAACATCAATTGGTTGCTTTACATATGCACCCTCACCTGAAACTAAACCTGCAACCCAGGCATGTACCCTGACCAGGGATCAAAATGGTGACCTTTCGCTTTGCGGGGCGATGCACAATCAACTGAGCCACACCGGTAAAGGCTACTTTTCTTTTTAATCACAACTGCCTTTTTTGGTGGTAGTTATGAGAGGCTTCAACAGATCAAAACTCTTGAAGAAATAACCCACCATGAGTAAGAATCAGCAAGTATAATAAATAAAAATTCTATTATGTGTCTGAGAACATCACATAATAGAATTCTATGATTAAAACTATAGCTACTGGGTGTTCTATAAGGCCACCTTGAAAAAAGACTGGACCTCAATAATGAATTCCTTCAGGTTTACACTTCTTTGCAATCATACTTCTGCACACATTGGTCACTTTTCCTTTCATGTAATTGCTATTTGTTGAATTCTTCCCCACCTCTTAAGGCCTAGCACAAACATCACTTCCACCAGAGAGTCTTCCTTGACTCCTTTAACCAGTTATGATTGTTCATTTTTATTAATCCTTATAATAATTCTTGTACCTCTCATGATAGTCTTCATATTTTCCTCAAGTAGGAATTACTCCTGTCTCTCTCCATTCCTGCCAAAGTTGAATTGCTCAAAGTTTGCACCGCCCCACAAAATATAAACATTTACCTAACACTTAAGATAGCTATGACCAAACGCCAAACAATGGGGTCAATGCCAATACTTTCTTTAGATTGTTAACAAAAAGATGGTCTGACCAAAGGCTATAGAAGAATGGACAATAGGTCATGTCAGAATCCATTTATGTTCTAAACTGGACTAACAAGGAAAATGGGAACGGACTCATAACTAGAGAACAGGATGCCGGCTAGTGAAGGGGAGGTTAGCGGATGGACGGATTGAACAAAAAGGAAAAAGGGCTCATGGACACGGACAACAGTGTGGTGATTGCTGGTGGGGTGGGAAGTATAAGGAGACTAAATGGTAATGGAAAAAAATATATAATAAAGATTTACTTTATCAAAAAATAAAAAAGAATCCATTGATGTTTAAAGATATTGATGTCTCTATGTGGACCACTGCACTAATAATAATCACTTGCATATTAATCCCATGTCACAATTTATTAATTGCTTTAATATATTATTTAAGTTTTATTTTCATAAGCATAATCTAAGGTAGAGAATAAGGCCTTTATAGATAAGAAACATGAGGTCCAAAGAGGTCTGAGGTCAGATGGTGCATTCAAGGGTATGCTAGATAGAGAAACAAATTTTCCATACGTCCAGTCTTTTCACTGCCTTGAACTACCTTTCCAAAGCCCTCAGCACATTAAGTGTTCACAAGGCCAACCCTCACCCAGAGCAGGTCCTACCTAAACTGGCTTCCTTAGAAGGACTTACCTGCCATTCATCAGTACCAGAACAGAACGGTTGTTGACCTGATTGTCACTTTGGTGCTTTTTCTGAAATTATACGAGAAAATGTTCAGGAAATAGAGTTGAGCAAACTGCATGTAGAAAATTAATATTTTGAAATGTTACCCAATGTAGTTCACCCTCTTTATAATTTTCCTTTACCCCACAAAGTCCTTCTACCATTAAAACCAGGCCAAGAGGCTGGCTATCTCTGAGAAGCTGAAAAGGAAGGTCTGAAAGAGAACCAAGGGAGAAGAAGGAGAGAAAATCTTGGCTTTAAAGATCAAAAACCAAAGACTGGGGAATGAGAACAACTTATATCAAAGGCCACAGAGATGAGATGGCCGGATGAGTCTCATGCTCCTTGGTAAGTGCAGGGAAAGCTAAATATCCTCAAACATACTTCCATCCCACCCCCAACAATGGTCCACATACAGAAGCCTACAGTGGATGCAATGAGAATCTCACAAACTTTTTCAAAAGCAACTTTGCTCAGTCATCTATTCAATGGCCAAATAGAAGGGGGACAAATACAGGGTATGTCCTGGTGCTAGAACTTACAGGAATCCCCTCCTTCCAGTGGAGTTACTCCATGGGAGAAGGGCAGGACTGGGAAGGAGGCAGAGAGAATCCTGAATTTGTTAGAATGGTTATCCTAAAGAGACTGAGTTCTAAACCAGAAGTAACTGGGATATTCTGAATTGGCAAGTTAAGTTTTTGCTTAAAGTTTTGGCTCTTTAAAAAAAGGTGGGGATGGTGGAGTGGTTGTTATGCACTATATTGAGTTTAGTTATAGAGAAATACAGTTACATTTTGCATTGTGACTTCAGTCACAATTTAGTTATGACTAAAATCTAAACCATGTGCTAATTCTGGATTTAAAGAGTTACAAAGTTAAAAGAGCTGAAGGAACATTCTTCTTTCAAACCTTGGTCTAAAAATCTATTCTGGCAAAATCAGGACTCTCTTATGGAAGATGCAAACAGTTCAACAGGACGGGCTTCCCAAATCCCAAGCATGGTACTGGGTCCTCACCCTTATCCTTTTATGCAGGGCCTGCTGTAAGGAGTAAAGAGGAAGCCATATTTCTCCCTCCATGGCCAGGAAAAGATCCAGCCTCTGCTTAAGCATGCCATAAGGCTTTCTGAAAATTAGAGGGCCCCTGGCTGTGCATACCTAATAGAATTGAAAGCTGGAAATGCAGATAGGGACAGTTGGAGAAGAGAAATGAAATGCGCAAAAGGAAGATAAGAACAGGAAAGAGGGAGGAGGAAACAGAGGGATGAAAAGAAGATGGATATAAAAATGAGAGAAAAAGGAATCGTGAAAGAAAGATGAGAGCAAAACCAGAGAGAGCTAAGAGGAGAGTGAAGGAAGAGGTGGGTTATTTAAAACGAGATGGGCCCTTACTGGTGTGGCTTAGCGGATTGAACATCATCCTGCAGACCTAAAGGTCATAGGTTCGAATTACGGCCGTGGCACATGCCTGGGTTGTGGGCCAGGTCCCCAGTTGGGGGTATGTGTGTGGCAACCAATCAACATTTTTCTCCCTTTCTCTCTCCCTCCCTTCCCCTCTCTGTAAAAATAAATAAATAAAATCATAAGAAAAAGAGAGATGGAAAAAAGCCTGGAAAAGAGGCTAAGAGTGGTGGTTGTAGGAAGACAAAGAATGGCCTTGCATTGCCCCTTTCTGGCCATGCATAGACCACTAATCTTGAGCCTACAAAAAGTATATTTTTGTCTTGGATAGATAAAGAAACAAAAAAAGGGAACCATCTTTTTCCAATTGGTGCTTTTCCCTAGCATTAGGTAGTTACAAGAAGTCTTTCTCCCCCCTCCCCCCGCCCCCAGGCTGACTAGGATCAGTGAGTAACGAAAGGCCCAGGAAGCCAGTATACCAGGTCATCCATGGCATCTTTCGCTGCTGTTATGCACAGCACCACCATCAGAGGTATCACAGTTGTGTACCACGCCAAAGAGGAGATCTGGGGAATCAGCTATGAGACAGAAAGGGAGAGAAGCTTAGGTCAGAAAGCTTAAAAGACAATATATTTCCCCCCACCCCAACACCATTTTCACCTCCATAGGTTCATAATAAATTCAACGACCCTCATTGCTTTCCACTGTTTTTAGCCTTCATATAACCCTCCAAATATAAGTAAACATTGCCCAAGAAAGAGGGAAAGAAGAGACTGTAACCTGCTACCTGTCTGTCCTGAACTCTGTAACATTTGCCTTGATGGCAAAGGACCATTTCTCCTGTGATAATGAAGGTGCTGGGGGTAGGGTGTAGGAGTGGACCTGGGAAAACCACATGCCATCCCACATGCCTTTGGCACAAGGGAAATGAGTCGATCTGTCTCTCACTCCTAATTTGGGCCTACCCCACCCTGCTTCCTTGCTCTGCACTAGTACTGTTATATTCGAAACTGCTCTCCTTCCTCAGCACGTCTGCATTTTAACTTTCTGTTAGGTAGGCAGGGACCAGAAGGAGGAATGGGGTTGTAAGTGTGGTTGGGGTGAAGACTCTGTAGCCTCCTGTGACCGTGCAGCCATAATGAGGGGCTCTTCTTCCTTGGGATCCAGAGACCTTGCCTCCTTCCTCTTGCAGAGGCTTGTTTCATCCTGGCTAATCCTGACCTCAGCTACTCTAGAGGACTGGCCTGAGATCCCACCCATCCATTTGCCTGCTATCTAGTCAGAGAAGGTATTTCTCACTTTAGAGAGGAGAAGGACTGATTATACAACCTGCCCCCAGAGAGGTGAATAAAATGTTCTGTGGAAAAGGTCCCAAAAGGCAATACCTGTAGGATTAGCAAAATGAGAAAATATGCATTGGCAAGTCTCTGAAACTGTTCAAATAGGTTCAGGGGCAAGAAGTTAAAGACATTATATTTTGAGGTCTTGATGGTATTGTTCTGTGAGTAAAAGAAAACAAGCACAATTAGAGGAACAAAATACTCCTACCTCCCAATCTTAACAAAAAGGACAATGGCCACTCAGTGAAATGGTAAAAAGTAACAGTCCCCCCACCAAAGGAAGGGAAGACGTATTATTTCCCCTCCCACCATATTTTCTTTGAGACCTAGAGAGGTCTACAGGATGCAAAAATGTCAAGGTTGATCAATATGGGGCTTTTTTGGGAGGCAGAATGTATTTCTGCCTTGGATAGAATTCTTGGTTTACTGACACTATTGATAATAAAATCAATGACAATAAAAACCTACACTTATTGAATATTTGTTACATGCAAGGTATTGTTCTAACCATTTTTATTTGTAGCAACATATTTAATCCTCAAACAACCCTATGAGGGACTACCATATGATCACTTTTTTGAGGATGAGTAAATTAAGGCACTGAAGTTATTTGCCCAAAACCACACAGTTAGTTGCAGAGTTGGGATCGTGCTGTCTCCTGAGACTCATTCCACTTGTATAGCCATCCAAATACTTTTCTTCCTTAGAATCATAAATACTTCAGTTTCATCTTACCCTCTGGCCCTTAAGGTCCTCCTCAGTCCTAAAAAGGCAAGACTTCCATTTGTGTTAGCCCCCCTCCAGAGTTTAATGAGCTTTTCTTGGTTTGGCAAACTCATTTCAGTGTGCTTTTACATGCTGGTTTCATCGCTGAAGAATGTCAGATGCCAAAAGCAAATTACTGTCTTCCAACCTTAGCCCATTGAAGGTTCCTACACTGGTTGCTGTCAGCATTGGGAATCACTTGTCCCTTAACTGCCCTGAGAGTTTGAATAATTTGGCCTACATCTAAGCTATTATTTTGTTAAGTGAAAATGGGAACTTGGTACCTTTCCAGTCCTGATCTCCAAGATTCTGACAGGACCACCTTACTTTCTATCTTTGGGTTTTCAATAATTTGACCTAAGTTGTCAGAGCTTGAATCTAAGAGCTCAAGAAAAGCAGAAGAATGAGACCATTCCCTTGTTCCCCTAAGAACAAGGCTTCTCCCCCATCTCCTCCATCTGGAAGGCCTAAACAGAAGAATAAACCCACCTATAGGCCTGGAGTACACATGCTCCTCAAGTATAAAGAATCTTGCTGGGCCCTGCCTTGGGAAGGCATCAGAGTCCTCTTGGAGAACCCAAATCAGCCAGTCCTAAGGCTAAAACTTGCTCAAGGTTAGATAGACTACTTAACCAAGACTTGCCCAATGTCTATTTCCCAAGGGAAAAAAATATGGTCAAATAGCTTAGTGCTGAGTAATTTAGAGGCCCAAGACAAAACTAAGATTTCCTTGGTATTTCTCCATAATTTTTCCAATTAACAATCAACTGAACACTATACATTTCTCAAGGCTTTCTCTGTTCACAGCCCTATGTTGGGCTATACTAGTAGAGTCTGAAAAAGAATTCAACAAGATCTATCCCAGAGAAGCTCATAGGTTTGCCTTGAATAGAGTTCTAACTAAATGATCTATAAGAGCCCTTCTAGCCCTGGGAGTATGTTATTCTAAAGTATGTTATTCTAATATAGAGATAGTTTTCTTTGATCATAAGATACTCTGATTCCTTGGTGTCAAAGTCCAGATTGCTCAGATACTTGGACCCAAAGCTCTTTTGATCTTTTGCCTTACTGAAGCAGCTGGTCATCACTAATGAATGCTGATTCTGTCTCAAGGTAGAAGTATCAATGCTTCTTCACTAATTTGGCAACTAGAGTATTTTGTTCTACTCTTAAACATCAAACCAGAAACAACATCTCCAGAATGTAGAACATCTGCTTAACTATGAACTTCCTCACTTTTTAGTTATTTTGGCACATGTGATAACATTTAAGTATGATAGGGGTGGTGGATTTTGGTTTGGGCTATTTATTTATTTGGGCAGTATACTTGATTGATGGCTAAATGAGGAAATGGAGGAGAACAGAAGGCCAAGGACATAATGGGAATCAGTATTTAGGGGATGAGAAGAGAAAAAGTATAGGAATGGAAGAAATTAGAGAAATAGGAGGAAAATAAACAATGAGTAGGACCAGGGAAAAGAAATCATTGTTAAATATATAATAATCAGTCAAATCTGTTCATTTATTCATTAACTATTCAGTATATATTTATTGAATGCCATTTATGTGCCAAACATTGTGATAGGAACTGTGGATACAGATGGAATGAGACTTGTTCCCCTTTTTCAAGGGATAACAGTTTCTATGAGAAAGTGAACTAACATTTTTCACAAGTATACTTAACTCCTACAACCACCATGTAAGGTGGTGAACATTAATGATTATGCCCTTTTTCTAGACAAGGGAACTGGAAATCATAGAAGTTAACATACCTAAGGATGCAAAGGTAGCAAGGAATAGAACTGTGTTCAAACTCTGGTCTGTCTGAGGCCAAGCCTTATCATCCCAATGCTGTTTATGCAGGTCTGGAAGATAGAGGGAAAACCTGCTCCCATGGCTATATGCTGAGCATTGTTATTTTCCAGAACCTCTCTAACTCAGAAATCATAGACTAATATCCTACAGAGAGACTGTAAATACATATGGCTATATATATTTATAGCTATACAACAGTAAACCCTCACTTAACATTGTTGATAGGTTCTGCAACCTTAAGTGAAAGACATATAATGAAACCAATTTTACCATAGACTAATTCATACAAACAAGAGTTAAGTTCCTATGGCATCTCATCAATGTTATAATGAAATAATGTTATTTGAGGACCTACTGTACATGAGTATATAAACACGTAGCTGCATGTGCATGAAATAACATATCTATGAAAGCATTGCTTATAATCATGAAAGACTGGAAACAACCTAGGTATGGGTTTATAAGGAACTGGTTACATAAAGTATGCTAAATCTGCATAGGAAATACAATGCAGCTAAAAAAAAGAAAGAAAGGAAAAAGCTATCATGAAATTCTGATAATGAAAACATTTCTAGTACATATTGTAAGAAGGTGGGAAAATAAGAATATATATTTGTATTTGCTTTATTTGCACAAACAAGCACTGAGAACTAAGTAAGAAACTAATAAAGGGATTCCCTATAGGAAGCAGATGTGGGCAGGCATGAGGTGTTGGAGCATGACTTTTCAATATGCATCTTTTTATGAGTTACTTATTCATAAATAAATAAATAAGTAAATAGATGAAAAATGAACAACTCAACAGAAAATTAGCAAAGATCATTAATAGGCAGTTTCTAGAAAGAGAAATACAAAAAACTAATTAAAATGAAAATATTAGTGATCTCATTCAAAGTTAAGGAAAGATAGAAAAAAATGTCATTTTTCACCTAAGAGCCTGGCAAAGATGAAAAAGATTGGTAATACTCAGTTTGACAGGTATATGGAGAGGCGAGCAATCTCTACTATAGGTAGAAATATACCACGCAGCAATATTTTTACAGATATGTCCCCTAGAACAAGAGACACAAAGGAAAGAATAAACAAATGGGACCTGATCAAATTAAAAAGCTTCTGCACAGCTAAAGAAAACATTAGCAAAATGAAAAGGGAACCAACTGTATGGGAAAACATATTTGCCAATGATACCTTGGGCAAGGGTTTGATCTCCAAAATATATAAAGAATTCACATGACTCCACTCCAGGAAGACACACAATCCAGTTAGAAAATGGGCAAAGGACCTGAACAGACACTTCCCCAAGGAGGACATAGACGGGGCCCAGAGACACATGAAAGGATGCTCAGCATCACTAGCCATCAGAAAGATGCAAATTAAAACCACAATGAGATGGCACTTAACACTGGTCAGAATGACTGCCATAAACAAATCAACAAACAACTTCTGGTGAGGTTGTGGAGAAAATGGAACCCTATTGCACTGTTGGTAGGAATGCAGAGTTGTGCAGCCACTGTGGAAAACAGTATCGAATTTCCTCAAAAAACTAAAAATGGAACTGCCTTTTGACCTGGCAATTCCACTGCTGGGATTATATGCTAAGAATCCTGAAACGCCAGTTCAAAAGAACCTATGCACCCCAATGTTCATGGCAGCGCAATTCACAATACCCAAGGGCTGGAAGCAGCCTAAGTGTCCATCAGTAAATGAGTGGATCAAAAAACTACGGTACCTTTACACTGTGGAATACTACACAGCAGAAAGAAAGAGGGGGCTTCTACCCTTTGCTATAGCATGGATGGAACTGAGAACATTATGCTAAGTGAAATAAGACAGGCAGTGAAAGACAAATACTATATGGTCTCATCTATAAGTGGAACCTAATCAACAAAACAAACAAGCAAGCAAATTGAAATAAAGAACAAACTGACAGTAACTGGGGTGGGGGAAGGGGGACAGCAGGGGGAGAAGGGGAAGGGTCATCAACGTACATGTATAAAGGACCCACGGTCAAAGCCAACGGGGTAGGGGGTAGGATTGAGTGTGGGAAGTGGCGGTGGGTGGGGTGCAGAAGAGTGGTGGTGGGAAATGGAGACAATTGTACTCGAACAACAATTAAAAAATATAGATAAATATCTTTTTAGAGGCAATCTGGCAATATGTCTCAAAATTTTTAACGTGTTTTACTTTTGACCCAGCCAATTCACTTCTAGAAAAGTCTCATAAGATATATTCACACTAAGTGTGCCAAAAAACATGTACAATGGTTCAGCCAGGATGATTTATCACAGGAAAACACTGAACACATTTTTTTGGAGGGGGTGTGAATGAATACATTTTACATGTTTGTCAATAGAAAACTGGTTAAACAAATTAAGGTATATCAATATAATGGGAAACTATGCTGCTATCAAATGAATTAGGTAGATCTATATATTTGTAATAGATAGACGTCTAAGTGAAAAAAGAAAATTGTGGAACTATACCATTATTTGTGCAAGAAAAAGCTACAGTATTTCTTTTCTAGGAGTTACACATAAAATCCAATATCTGAGATACATTATTCCCTGAACCTAGGCCACTGGATTGACTTTGGGTCTGAGTCCTCACTGCACCAGCCCTCAATGAATAGCGGTGTGAAAGAAAGTAGAAACTAAGTTATAGGATCTACATCTACAATGAAGTTCCTGCCCCACCAACAAAGGGGAATATTAGAGGAGAATTTCAGCCTCCTTTTGAAATAGCCAGAGACCTGATACTCACTGGATATCCAAACATAGTGTTGAATTTTTCGTTGTTGGCTTGCAGGTATCTCTCTTGTTCTAAGAAAGAGGAGAGAAATTATGAGAAGGATGCCCCTCCGCACATTAGCCTGGCATGCTGGCTGCTAATGAAGACTTCACTAGATCCTCACACTTTCTCACTGAGGATATCTGTCTACAAATGGTATTTTGTCTCTTTATTCAAAGAATCAAGAAATACAATACAAATGAAAAATCCTCAAGTGTTCAGGCTTTCTGAAGACAACAGGACAAGTAATTTCTGAGTTCTCCACCATTAATGCTTCCAGCGAATCCTAGTTATGTCTCCACAGATGACAGGATGGCCTGCACCAACATTACTGCCAACACAGATATCCAGCCCTCCCTCATAGGTCAATTCCACTACCTTAACTCGCATAACTAAATTTAAATTAATCACTTATTATTGAGTGCCTATTGCACAGAGGCCAGTGTGCTAGAGGCTGTGGGGGGATGAAGAGATGAGTAAGACCAAGTACATGACTTCAAGGGGCTTGTAGTTCAGTAGGAGTAAGCCTGATAACTGTAAAACATGACAAAATCATCACATCAAAATGCATAGGTGTTATGAACTATTACACACAGTGAGCCCATTACCATGTTATGAAAAGTCTTAAAAAATATATATTATCAATAGATCTTTCTGCCCTGAATGACATACTCCTGTAGTGTCTTCGTTCTTCATTGGCTCAGGAAACATTTAGAGTTCTTGACAGGTGTCAGGTCCTGTGCTGAGTGTTAGGGTCACATTATCCCTGACCATCTTGGGAATTCTAATCCCAGTGGGGAAGACAAACATAAAAAAATAAAATTCAATCTAATGTAAGGACAGTGATACAGGCAAGAACAGGATGTTAGGAGTGCACAGAAGAAGGAAGGGAGGTAAGGAAAAGTCAGCTATGAAAAGTATTCCTGGAGAAGATGCTTGAATTATTTGGATGATATGGTGTGCTTAATTTCCAATTCTCTTGAGCCTGGATAGTACATATACCAAGCAATTTAGAATTTAGTCTGAAGGTTGACACTACAACTAAATCCTTAATCATTCTAGAAATTCCTAGACTGATTTTCCAAAGAATTTGTCTCCCCAGAGAGTGGGTTCTAGCAACCATTCTGCCTGCAAGTTATTTTTTTTCAAAATAGACTGAATGTCTATTTTGAAGCTCTTCCAGCCCTCAAATGTCTTCCCTGGCTCATGACTCCCAAGATTAGAAAGAAACTTCCTTCCTTGATCCGCAAAGATTCTTACTCTAAGCCACAGAATCCCACTTGATCTTGAACTCACTTGCCTTAGCCTTCTAAGGGAATTCTCTGGCTCCAGGTGCTAGAAACCCAACCTGCAACTGTTGAATTTTTTTTTTTGAGATATAATTCACATAACATAAAATTTACCTTCTTGAAGTGTACAACTCAGTAATTTTTAGTAAATTAATGAGGTTACACAGCCATCACCACTAATTCAGAACATTTTTATCAGCCCCAAGAGACAACCCATACTCAATTCCCCTTTTTCCCTTATCCCTGGCAAACACTAACCTATATTCTACCTCTATGGATTTGCCTACTCTGGAAATTTCATATAAATAGAATAATATGTGGTCTATTGTGACTGGCTTGTTTCATATAGCATAATATTTTGAAGGTTCATCCATATCATAGCATATATCAGCATTTTATTCCTCTTTATAACTGAACAATATGCTACTGTGTGAATATACCACATTTGTTTATCCGTTCACCCACTGATGAACATTTGGGCTGTTTCCATATTTTGGCTATCATAAATAAGGCTGTTCTGATAATTCATGTGCAAGTCTTTGTGTAGACATGTTTTCATTTCTCTTGGGTATATATCTAGGAGAATTGCTGGGTCATATGACAATTCTATGTTTAACTTTATGAGAAACTGCCAAATGGTTTTTCACAGCAGTTGCATTATTTTACATCCCCTCACAATGTATGAGGGTTCCAATTTCTCTACAGCCTTGCCAATACTTGTTAGAGTCTTTTTTTTTTAACCCTCACCAAAGAGTGGGGTTGGGGGGAGAGGGAGAGAGAGAAACATTGATTGGTTGCCTCTGGCATGCTCCCCGACTGGGGATCAAACCCACAACCTAGCTATGTGCCCTGACCAGGAATCGAACCTGCAACCTTTTGGTGTATGGGATGATGCTCCAAACAACTGAGCCACTTGGCCAAAGCAGTATCTATGTTTTTTATTTTAATTATCTTAGTGGATGTGAAGTAGCATCTTATTGTGGCTTTGATTTGCATTTCCCCAATGATTAATGATGATGTTGAGTATTTTTTCATGTGCTTATTAAACATTTATATATTTTCCTTGGAGAAATTTCTCTTCAGATTCTTTGCTCATTTTAAAACTGGGTTAATTTTTTAAACCATTAAGTTAGAAGTTTTTTATGTATTCTGGAGAGAAGTCACTTTTTACTTATGTGATTTACAAATATTTTCTCCCAGTCTGGTTTTAACTGTTGTTTTTATAATGTACTAAATTCTAACATTGAATGTTATTATGGGTTTTGTATTCTTTTCCTTTGTTCTATTCATCTTTTAAATTATGTAACTTTTAATACTGAACACTGAATTCTGAAATCTTCAGAATCACTTTGTCCAGTTCCCTTGAGACTGAAGTTTTGATTAGAGAGGCAGACAAATAGAATTAAATCACTAGAGTCCTGCAGATGGAGTAAAGTGGGTTATTAGAGGAGGCAGAGCTATCGCCCATGCATAAAACAGTCAGGTGTGGGAAACTACAATGCATTCCTCAGGAGGCTAAAATCACAGACTTTTGAAAGATACATGAGGAGTCAATGTTATGGCAGGGACCTTGATTGTTCTTCATGTAATTTCTTCCACTCCTCCTCTAGTTGTCAGAAAAAATTACTAAATATCATAAAATCAGAACATGAGTTAAATCTCTGACAGAAAATATCTAAGGGGCCGAAGTCTGTGCATTAGGCAGTATAAAAACAGAGAGAATTAAGATGTGTAACTACTTTTACCCAAGGATTTGCGAGGATACAGATTTGGACTACACAGATTAATCTGGAAAGAGTTGATATTTCTGCACTATTAGTCTCCCACCCACCAGTAATATACAATATCCCTGTGAGGGAGATAGAGAGGCTTGTTGGTCTATCCCTATGAAGCCACTCCTATGTGTATGATGATCATGTCTGCATAATCACCTTGTTAGCAATATATAAACAAGGGACTATGAGTCTTTCCTGAATTAGGTTTACCACCCACCTATGAAGCTTGTAGTTTATTCTATTGCACTAGTGCATTTCTTTTTTGTTGTTTCCTTATTGTGATTACTAGTGTAGCCTGAGTAAAGATGGGGGAAATGGTGGGGCTGGGTGAAAAAGGTGAAGGGATTAAACAAAAGAAAAAAGAAAAAAAACTCATAGACACGGACAATAGTATGGTGATTACCAGAGGGAAATGGATGTGGGGGCAGGTAGAAGAGGGTTAAGGCAGGGGACAAATGGTGGTGGAAGAAGACTAGGGGTGGTGAACACACAATACAATATACAGATGATGTAGTATAGAACTGTACACCTGAAACCTATATAATTTTATTAACTAATATTACCCTGATAAATTCAATAAAAAAGTTAAAAACAAACAACCATGAAAAAAGATGGGGGCAATTGAGCCAGGGCTGAGAAGATGTTTTGTGATGCCTGTTTGACTAGTTAGTGGCTTACTTACAATACTGTGATACAAGAGTTCCTGCTAACGACTGTAGCTTAGGCTATCCAAAGCAGTGGAACATGTATGGCTCAGATAATTTAGCTCCAACTAGGATTCAGAGTTGTTGCATGGTCCATGTCCTTTGTGCGGGGACTTTCTCAGTAGCCCAGGTAGCTGCCTGATTAGGGCAGTGTACCAGAGCAGTATTGGTGTTTCTATCGCTATTGAGATTATCCATCCCCTGAGCAGACTAATTTTCTACTACATTCATGCTCAGTGTGTTCAGACATTGGTGAGTAAAATCAGTCTCTCCCAAGCCATTGGCCCCCATACCCAACAGACCTTTCCATTTATTTAAAAATATTACTTGATGACTCTTTATAAAGTTCTAATATTTCCTTATTTAATGTCACATTTCTTATTGAATTTAATCCTAGATATCACTTATTATTTTTTACCTTAATAAAGGTCTAACAGGTTTTCCCAGCAACTTGTCTGGGTGTAGTAGGCTATTTTCTCTAAGCCCAATAACCCCAAGGGATACATGGAGTCCAGGCTCTGCACAGCAAATGAACCCCTACCTCCCTCTTTAAGAGTAAATTAAAGCAGGTAGGTGCCAGGATTCAGAGCTTGAGTTGGAGGAAACAGACTGAGACTCCAGAGTGGGGTAGGGTTACCTTCACCTAGTTTTGGCTCTTTGATACCAGACCTGCCAAGAAAGAAGATGAAGGCAAGAGGAAAGTAGGATTTCCAGCAGGGGGGGAGAGGAAGTGAGGGTTAGAAAATCAGATTTCATAAGACGCCTCTAAAAAAGGAAAAGCAGGAATGATGAGAAAAATAGTTAAAAGTTCAGTTTGTACAACCTTCAAGAAGCTGAAAGTCTGAGGCAAGCTTAAAGAAAAAAATCAGTTGGGTTCGAGAAAATAAAGGCAGGAAGAATGTTTTCAGACTAGGTAACATAAGATTAATTCAAGATTTCCTAGGACTTGTGAATATTGTTGAGAAAAGACAGGGATGACTGTTTTTCCCATTACTTGTTATTCAAAGTTTGTTCTTGTTTGGCTGGAACAGAGCAACAACATGTGAACTATGAATGAGAGGTTAGAAATATAGAAGACCAGAAATTGTCTTAGACAAAGAGAATCTAGAAGATGGCCTAGTTGAAGAGTCCTAGATATGGAATTCAAGCGGTCAAACACCCAGCTCTAGCCTCTGCTAATGTGGAAAATGCACCTTTCACTTGGAACTGAGGGTTGAGTCTATAGCCTGTTCAGCAAAGGTCTGGTTTCACCAAGATCTGTGTTGGGAGCTGAACTGGAAGGATAAAAATCATTAAACTGAAAGGACCAGACTTGTTGGTGAAGCAAGGAATTTGGTACTGTAAAATGTGAAGTGGGCTTGGAGTTTAAAACAATGGTCAGCTCCCATACTGGTTAAGAAACTGGGCAATCTAGGGAGGCTGCCAGGGTTCAAATCTTGGTCTTCCACTTATCAGTTGTACAGCCTTGAGGAAGTTACTTAACCTCTCTGAGACTCATTTACTTCATCTGTAAAATGAAAATGATAATAATACCTACCCATAAGGTTACTGTGAGGATTAATAAATTAAGGCATGCAAAGCATTTTAGAACAATTCCTTGTATATTAGAAATGCTCAGAAAG